CAGAGATGTCGACTGCAGAGAGTGTGGGGTGCCGCCCTTTGCTGCTTAGCATCACTCCCTCCTGCAGAGAACAAACCCTCACATTTCCTGTGGGAAACCATAGCTTCCCCCTGGGGGATAAGCCTTGGGGGTTGCATAGCATTGATCCGCATCCCCCCTAACCCCCCATCTCCAGAGGTGGGCTCTGATTGTCAGCATTTCCCATCTTTTTCAGCCACATGATTGGGTCAGGGATAGAGACAGGCCAGGATGAAGCCTTGAGGACATTTTGCTGAGAATACTGGGTGGAATCAAATCTAAGGAAGCGGTGCAGACAACGGGGCAGAATGAGAAATAGAATGTAGGTGCTGGCTACACTGTGCGACCCCAGACGAAGCCTTCCCTGAAGTCTGACCCCTGGACTGATCAGTTACGGGAGCCCAGAAATATTTTTCTGTTACGTCCATGTGGTTTTATTTCTCTGTTGTTTGGAACAGAAATCATCTAACTCAGTGGTTCTCAGTATGACATTTTGGAAATCCGTGGGAGCTTTTCGTTTGTCACAATGATTAGGGGACGCTCCTGACATTGACTGGGAGGGGGGTATGGATGACAGGCATCTTGCCATGCATGGGACAGTGAGAGACAAAAAGCAATTCCTCTTACACGTGACCTTTGAAGGACCTGCGAAAAACGTAAGTTCTTCGGCATGGCTTTGTGGTACATTGGTTTGTCCAGGAAACGCCATCACCATGTAAGCCGAGGGAGAAGTGTGCTTGGATTTGTTCAAACCTCACCAAGAGTCATTCACGACTTTGAAAAGTCTCGTCACTGTGAACAGTGCCACTATGGTGTCAGATTTACCAGTACAAAGTTAAGTGACTCCGTCAACTTCTCCCAGGAAGAGTCTTAATCAACAGTCTGGAATTCTCTGCCCAGGCACCAGTAAGGGAATCTGTCACAGGGGCCCTCTCCATTCACCCCCCACCCCCAATAGAAAGAAGAGGCAACCTACATGATAAAATCCTTTCCAAGTTCTTTCACCCAAAGAAAAGACGTCTCGCCTCCCAAATAATCTTATCTTTTGTTAATAGCTTCCTTGTCCACTCTCCTTCCCATAAAAAACTTCCATTTTGCAGAACTCCTCAGAGTGCCTTTCCAGTTCCTACTTGGGATGCTGCCTGGTTCACCAATTGCTTAATAAAGCCGATTAGACCTCCAAATCTACTCGATAGAATTTTGTTTTTTAACAGCAGTTATGAGAATTAAATGATGTGATGCTTGTAAAATGCCTAGGACTTAGCAAGCAGTAGTTAAAGTTAGCTATTATCAATTTTTAAATTATTACTATTATTAGAGTCTTTCTTAAACTGTAACATACTGAATAGGAATATCAGAGAATATGATCATTTCGCCATTATGATGACTCTCCTCTGAAAACAGCATATACCTAACCAATAAGGTTTGTGCCCAGGAGGTGATTTAAGCATTTGTGTAAAAGATAAATCCCAAATATGTCAGAGATCTAAATGTCAAAAATGAAACCCAAATAAATTATAAAAGAAAATAAAGATTAATTTCTTTATAACCTGGAAGCGGGATAAACTCTCCTAACTATGATACCACATGCAGAAATAATACTAGAAAAGATAAATTCGACTACACGATTTTAACATTTTGTCATGAAAAATCACCATAAGCGAAGTCCAAAAAAATGATAAATTGGGAAGAATATCTGCAACCTGTCACAAAGGAATATGTGACAATTAGAATCCTGGCGGAAATCAGAAATCACTCCCAAATAGCTTAAATAAAGAGATTTTAACAAAGGGACGACCTGAACGGATATGGGCAAGAGTTAAGGGAATAAACCATGGCTGTGACTCGCGCAGAGACAGGTGGCATCAGAATGTCCTCACTGAAGTATTTCTGATTGATAAGTAGGATAGAATTTCCTTCCTCTAGGGCTGACGAGACAAAGGAAGAAATAATGTCAGAGCCCGCTGGGAGCTGAACCGTTGAGAAGGAACTGCTGCTGAGAGCTGTGTGGGAAGACGCAGTCCGCGCTGAAGCTGGGAGGTTTTAGTCTTGTTAAACTCGGAAAACAGTGTTTGTTATTTGGAGCACCTTTTCTTTATTTCTTTTCATTTTCCCTTGGTTTATTTGGGGATATTCTTTTGCTAATAACCCATGAGACTTACGGTATTTCTATTAAGACAGTTGGGCAGGGAAAAGACGTTTTTCTCGCCTTCAGGGGAGCAGAGGGCCCCTAGTGGTCAATGTTGGAGCTGCAGGAGTCCCAGAGGAGGGCCCGGCGGGCCTGGGAGGTGGGCCGGGTGCAAAAGACAGCGGCGAGGTGGAGGGAAGATGGGCCAGAGGATGGGAGAAAGACTGCGAGAGGGAGGGAGGAGATTGCGAGGGAAAGGGGACTGGAATGAGAAAGACCAGGCAAGACCGAAGAAATGCCAGCGCCAGACTATAAAACATGATATATTCAAGTTACTTTTAGCAAATCAACACTTCTAAGAATCTTATCCAATACAATGCAATAATGTTTCTCTACCCAGAAAAATTAGAACAGTGAAGTATTTTTGATTGAAAAGCAGGAAAGAATTTTTAAAGAAAAATAATATTGCTGAAGGAAGTGTTCCTGTTCCCGTTTAAATGATGGCCATATGTTATACATAAGCTATTGACTTAATTGAATTTAAAATGTTCTATCACAGATGGCAATGTTCTACCATATAATTGTGCTAACAACAAAAAGTTATTAAAAGATAAGTATTACCAGTGGGGTGGGCAGATAATGAGACGTATATTTAAGGTTGACTTATTCATATTTTCTTTTTTCACTCCTGTCAGGGTGTCTCTGTTACTTATAATGTTATTTGGTAATAATGGGAAAAGTTTAAATTTAAGACCTTTGTAGAAGGGAGTCCCATCAGATGGCTTTCCTGATTTTTTCCCCTTATTCCTCCTCGTGGTAAATCCTGCAGTGAAGTGAACCTGTGATTCTTGAATCCTACTTCCTATTAATTACACGGAAAACTCTGAAAAAAGTTCAGATTTTTGGGTGCCTCCCAACACCTACTAATTGAACGTTTCTGGAGATGGGTTGTCCTTACACTAGCATTTGGAACTAGGGCCCCAGCAATATCTATTAAACTAAAATAAATCTATGCTTCTTGGCCCAGAGATCCTACTTTTGGGAATCTATCCCGTAGAAATAAAAGCACCCAATACAGAATATACATATGCAAGAAAGTTTATTGCAACATTATCTGTTGTGGCAAAAAGTATGAACGAAGCAAACACTCGTCCACAGAGGAAAGGTTGAATAAACTAGAATAGCCATACTATGGGTTATATTATTAAATGAAAAAGAGAAAAAGAGATAAAGTGATATCAACTGATTTAGAAGGATTTTTCACCATGTATATTGTTAGGAAAATATAGTGATAAGTAAAAATATATATTTTGGAAGAGCATAGAAGTGTATAAAGCTATGTATTATAAAAGTATATTTGTACTGGAACTTAAGTCAGCTAATACAGTTCTCTGAAACAGAGAGTTTGCGACGGCTAGCTTTTGTTTCTCCTTTATTAATGGATTGGTATTATTTCCAAAGCGACATTTCTTTTTCTAAAAATAAATTCAGGTGCAATCGATCCTGTCTTTTCTGAGCTCCTCGAATCCTATGTGTCTTTTATACCTCCCCCCTACCCAGTTACACTGCTGAAATATTTATATTCTCACCCCTAGCATCTCCTCCCCCACCGACCTCCCCCGTTTAAATTCCCCAATCTGAGTTATCTAATTCTTTCTCTTCCCTCCCCTCCGCAGAAGCTGGCTTCTCTTATATGTTTTATGTGAATACTTGGGGGATGAAGGGTTGTGGGTCAGGGAACCCAAGGAGATGTTTAAAGTAGCTCCTAGTTTCCACTGAGCTCTTTGGTTGTACAGAACAGAGACTCTTCCAAGGTTTTTGAAGCTCCGGGAAACTTGATCTAAGGATACACATGAGAAAAAGGAAAGCGCTCTCAGTGCAGGGACTAAGTTCATTCCTTGTTTCTCCATCACAGTCTTCGCCTGGAGTAATGGCCTCCTCTTCTCCCTCTGGGCTTGATGCTTCGACACCATTCCCTACCTGCTACACTCATTTCCTGTGCATGGGGTTCTGCCTTTCTCTCTTGCTGCTGTATAGCTAGAGTCCTGGCTCTTGGTCCTCGGATCTGGGGCTGGATCCTCAGCCTGAATCGCTCCTTCTCCCTCTTCCTGGTGTGCTTCCCCTCTGAGCAGGAGTGTCCCTGTTTGTCTAACGTTGGCCTTCTCCTGAGGGGTCCGCCCGTCTCTCTCGGCTTCCTCCCACCAGCTGTCTCGGGAATCCAGCCCGATGATCCCCAGTTTGATCCAGCGGGTCCATCCAGGCCCCCGTCTGGCCTAAGTTGACCAAGCCCTACAGCACCTGTACGGTAAAAGCCCCCGAAATGACGCCAACCAATGAGTTCAGGGGGGAGGTGCGTCCCCGACCACACCCCCTTGCGGCATAAGCCCCGCCCCTCGCCCTCTCCACTTTCCTTTCTTCCGGTGCGTCGTGACGTAAGACGTGGGTCACGCAGCATTGGCGAGAGGGCCCGGAAGCAAAAGGCGAAGGGGCGGGGAAAAGGCGGAAAGGAGGGCGGGCGTCCAGGCGGGC